TGGCGAGGATGATGAGCTTCATGTCGTCGAGGTCGGGGCTGGAGCTGAACTGCCCGGTGTAGAGGTACTCCAGCACCGCCCGCATGCAGCTCTTGCTGGTGTAAGGAAGCGCCACCTGCCAGACACGCACCGGTTGTCACCCCACGGCCATCCCCAGCTGTCCCACCCTCCCAGGACAAATCCCAGGCCCCCTTCCTCACCTCGTTGGTGGAGCTCTCCACGAAGGGACCGCCGAACATCGCGGCCATCCAGTCGCAGCTGGAGATGAGCAGGGGCTTGGGGGGGCTGGTAACAGCAAACCAGCACGAAGGTGACATCTGGGGTGACAAGCAGAGAGATGCTACCGGGATCGTTCTCGCCACCTGGGGCTCAGCCACCTCCTGCCACAAAACGTCTTGCATCGGAGGAGGAGGATAAAGCCTGGTATATCCTATAAATTGTCCTAAATATCACCATTTTCTTTTTTTTGTTTGTTTTTTTCCCAGCATTCCCATCAGCTCAGAGGAGCTCAGGGAAGGGCCCCAGTGGGGCTCCGGCTCTTCCAAGCGATTTTTCCCAGGGCGTACCGTGAAAGCAAAGGGAAAAACGCAGGAATCAAACACATCTCCCAAGCTTGAGTCACTGGGAGAGCTGGGAACGTCGCTGAAAATCTCCTGCTCCCCCCTTAACTCCACTCTCCACCCCACACCACGGCTTGTGCCACGGGCCAGCACACATCTGTCCCCTGACAGCGACAGCCTGGCCGCATCAAGGTCTGTCCTCGCAAAATAAATGCAGCCGGAGGGAGGCTGGGACGTTCACATGCCCCCCGGGACGTCACCCCGCGGCACAAGCCGGTGGCACGTGGTGCTCGGCGGAAAGCCGGGGAAGTCCTACCAAGGGCACGTTGCTCCTCGTAAATCAGATGACCCTGTGAAAATCTGAGCCCCGGGAGGGAAGGAAGTCGCCTTTGCTGCTCTCCCGTAAATAAACAGAGCTGTCAGGCTGGCTGGGGAGCAGGAAACCCTGGGGAAGGGCCATTACACTCACACTTTCTCAGAAAAAAAACTGAACAAAACCAAAAAAAAAGGCTATAAAAATCCCAAAAAGTCAAAGCGTGACCAGGGAAGGCGAGTGAGCATGTGCTGCCCGGTGGCACGGCCGCCCCAGTCGCATGTGGGACCAAACCAGGAGCTCTGAGCCCCCCATCCACCTGCAGATGGGCCTCCCCCTCGGCCCGGAGTCATACCCGAGAAAGTCCCCTTGGCCAGGCATTCCTTCACCCGGTTGGTCCTCCGGACGTGGAAGGCTTTGGTGATCTCCTGGTTCATGAACGCCTCGTTGTTGAGGATGTTGGCCACCATCATCCGGAGGTCAAAGACCTCCAGCAGCTCAGCGATGTGAGCGATGTGCATGAGGTCCCGCTCGTTCTCATCCAGCTCCCCCGTGTACAGGTACTTCAGAACGGCCCGGAAAGGACCTGGCTGGATGGAAGCATCCATCTTCACCACCACCATGAGCTTGGACTTGTAGGTCAGCGGGTCTTCCGCCATCTCCTCCTGGATGCTGGTGAAAGCCCGGCTCCAAGAGGAGAGGTCCCTTCCCC